TGTCATTATGCGTCGTTGGACTATACGCATGACTGGAGATGCACACTATCAAACTACCAATTACCAATTACATCATGCTTATTAATTGATTAATTCAGCACTCTATTGAAACAAGGAAAAGTTGAGTTCTTAAACAATAGCAATCACACTAAATAACATGCCACTTATAGCATTAATATCTTCTTAATATGCTTGTTTGACAGGCCTCGTGGGAGATCCAATCACACGGTCACTCCCTGCTTCTGATTTCTGGTTAAGAGACGTCGATTAGAGTACAAGGAGCTCTAGCTGCCTCTTTTCTGATTGTAGCAGGCCGTGGGGGTGCTCAGAAAGGTCTGACAGAGGCTGGTTTGATTGTAGCAGGCCGTCGGGTGCTCGGAAAGGTCTGACAGAGACTGGTCTGATTGCAGCAGGCCGTCGGGTGCTCGGAAAGGTCTGACAGAGGCTGGTCTGATTGTAGCAGGCCGTGGGGGTGCTCGCAAAGGTCTGACAGAGGCTGGTCTGATTGCAGCAGGCCGTCGGGTGCTCGAAAAGGTCTGACAGAGGCTGGTCTGATTGTAGCAGGCCGTGGGGGTGCTCGCAAAGGTCTGACAGAGGCTGGTCTGATTGCAGCAGGCCGTCGGGTGCTCGGAAAGGTCTGACAGAGGCTGGTCTGATTGTAGCAGGCCGTGGGGGTGCTCGGAAAGGTCTGACAGAGGCTGGTCTGATTGTAGTCGGGCGTGGCCACTCAGAATTGGTGGGTATCTGTGACCAGGATCACCTGTCGGCGGAGTGTGTCGGCTGCTCCTCCCTCACACGTGTTATCATGGACAGGGACACGCCGCCTTGCACGGCAAAAGAGAGAGAGAGAGAGAGAGAGAGAGAGAGAGAGAGAGAGAGAGAGAGAGAGAGAGAGAGAGAGAGAGAGAGAGAGAGAGAGAGAGAGAGAGAGAGAGAGAGAGAGAGAGAGAGAGAGAGAGAGAGAGAGAGAGAGAGAGAGAGAGAGAGAGAGAGAGAGAGAGAGAGAGAGAGAGAGAGACAGAGAGACAGAGATGGGGGGGGGACAGGGGTGTGTGTGTACACACTGCTGGTCTATAATCAAACCAAATCTAATCCAACTCAACCTAACCTAACAATTGTTTGTTTATACGTACGTGGCGCTCGATATCAGTACAGGTTTTAGATCCCACTCACCGCAACTCAATTTCTTACTTTTTATAATTTTTATAAATGTTAATTTATAACCATTTAATTTATAACCATAAACCGGGTCACAACCAGTATTGAGACATTAGGAACTCAGTAAAGAGCGATTTCTCTGTGCCATGGCACTTGATTTTCGCCTTTAATCACATCAGGTACGCAGGTAGAGCGCGCGAGCGAGCGCGCTCTTGCTAGCAAGCAAATTTAACTTATGGCTCCAGAACTCTTTTTCATATGCTCCTAAACACACCAAAATTTAATAAATAATTGAATAATTAATTTGGCAAAATATATCATACTGGCCAACCCACACAAGTATTTAAGTATTTTCTATACTGCCAAATACGCAGCCAGTATAGCAAATACAGTATACAACACCAGAATATTGTATAATAAATCAGAGGCAGCCACAGAAGCTCGCGGAAGAAGGAACAACATCAATTATATAAACTATATATAATGTAATCTATATATATATATATATATAATATATATATAAATTATATATAAACTATATATATATATAATGTAATCAGGAAATGTCTCGATTACTTACCTTCATCAGTCGAGGCTTGTGGAGAGTGAGGACAACATGTTATCTTAAACTAACGATATCCAACAGTATATTGCTGGTATACAAGATAACAAGCCCTTCTCCCATAATGTTTAAATAAACAGGAATAACACGTGGATGGCCACAAACAAAACAGGGGGGAGAGAACAAACGAAAACGGGAAAAACATTCAAAACAAAGACATGCGGATAGCAAAACAAACAAAGAAACACGGGGATAACAGACAAATCAAACACAAGGGGATAACAGGCAGAACAAAAACATGGTTACAGAAAAACAAATATTTGATAAAGTTGACGGCTAATGAATAAAGTGGGGAGGGGAAACAAAGCCAACAAACAAACAAACAAACACAAGCCAGCTCCCCTAACTACAACTAACAAATACAACCAAGATTAGCAACCACACCTGAACACAAGTTCACTAACTATACACAGCCAACCAACCACAAGCCAGCTCACTATCCATACAAGCTCGCTAACCACACACAGCCTACCAAACACAAGCCATCTGACTAACCATACATGCTCACTAATCATACATGCTCTCTAACAACAAGCCAGTTCACTAACCACACACAGCCTACCAAACACAAGCCAGCACACTAACCAAACACAGCCTACCAAACACAAGCCAGCACACTAACCACACAAGCTCCCTAACCACACACAGCCTACCAAACACAAGCCATCTCACTAACCATACATGCTCACTAACCATACATGCTCACTAACCATACATGCTCACTAACCATACATGCTCACTCACTAACCATACATGCTCACTAACCATACACAATGAGCCTCTCCAACCAAAGCGCGGCCACTAACCCCTCGGATCTGTAGTACTCGTACTGGACGGGTCTGCGGAACAAGTAGACACAAAGGCCGCTTTAGATAAGATACTTGACAAAAAAAATAGGCACACAAATACATATGTAGCATAGCACACATATCCTCAAGGCTACACGGAGGGAAGCTAACAGCTATCCTCCTCCTCCCGTGCACTCAGCTGGCTTTTTCTAACAACCAAATCTATTCGGAAATAGTCTCTAATTACCCGTCTAGCTTTCAGTGTATGTTTAGATAAAAAAAAATGAATAAATACTAAATATATTTATAAAAACTACACTTAGTTATTTGGAAAAATATTAGATCCTTATATATATTTTTTTTGAGAGTATGGAGGAAGGATTAAAAAAGATATTTAATTCTATCTAAAGGAAATTAGATATCTAAATTCTTTCTAATTCTATAAATCTATTCAATTTTTTTTTTCTATACAGTTTGTGAGCGAAGCGCAGAGTGTTTTCTATATCAATGGTACAGAAACAAGGCTGATATTTCTCTAAATGAAATAAAGTCTAATTGATTTGGGTGATTCAAGTCCATTAAATAAATGTGTTTTTTTTACATAAATTATAAGTAATTATAAGTAAATTATAAGTAAATTATAAGTAACGTGATTTGAAAGACTTGATTTAGTTGCTTCGGCAGCTTACATAATACAGGGCGCCTGACAGCTGGGTGGACAGCGCTTCGCATTCGTAGTCCTGAGGTTCCGGGTTCGATCCCCGGTAGAGGCGGAGACAAATGGGCAAAAATGTTTCTTTCACCCTGATGCCCTCTGTTACCTAGCAGTAAATAGGTACCTGTGAGTTAGACAGCTGCTACGGGCTGTTTCCTGGGGGTTGTGTAACAAAAAGGAGGCCTGGTCGTGGACGCTAAGCCCCGAAATCATCTCAAGATAACCTCAAGATAGATCAAGATGTCCAATTTAGAATATAAAAATACTATTCTTAATAACATATTCGTATGATAGCAATAATGGCTGAACTAAAAAATAAAATGGAATACAAGTTGCGCTTAAAAAATATATAATAATTAGTTAATGCAAACTCTCTGGTCAATTAGTTAATTAGTTAACACAAACTGCGCAATATAACACATGTTAAAAACTTATATACGATGGTAATGTGGTGTTTATTAGAATCCCTAACGTTATAGTACTAACAAACAGAAGGAACAACTAGGGCATTTACCCATCACTAACAATTAGATACTAGAAGCATTTATACCTAATCTCCAAGCATCTGTAACATTTATCTATACCATCCAAGCAAATGGTTCATTTATCCATACCATCCAAGCAAATGGTTCATTTATCCATACCATCCAAGCAAATGGTTCATTTATCCATAATATCCAAGTAACTGGAGCGTTCATTCGCCCCCTAACACTCAAGCAACTGGGGCAGTTAACCGCTAATAACCACTAACAACCATTAACACTTGATGCTAATAATCCCTAACTAGAGACAACGAGCACATATGCCCCTAACAACGACCTACAGAATTTTTCAATTAATGAGGATATAATCTTGAGCATTTAACCATCATCACTTGAATATAGAGGCATTTACTCCCTAATCAACAGGATTAGATACAGAAACTGCCTAGTAATCCTAAACGTGGAACAGTAACCAGATAACAGAGGTACTGACAGCATTTATGACAGCATTCTGACAGCATACGGTACAAATACCAGAAGCATTTATTCACTAACTGCCAAAGACACAGAACATTTACCTCATAATAAGGCTTATGCGTCACCTAAATATAAGGAATAAGGCGCATTTCCCACTTAATAGCCATATCCAATGGCCATTTTTTGTTTACCTTACAGATACTGAAGAACGTCATCATCTCTGTAACGACCAAGTCCAATGACCATCTTAACCACCACACCATGGAAGGCCATCTGCAACAACCCCCGAGACAAGACGTCCAATTCCTCCCCCTCCCCCCCTTAACCGCAGTAACGAAGGCGAAACACCCACTTCCACCAGTTACCTACTCTTGTACCACCTCTCGCGCCAGATTTACGAAGCAGTTACGCAAGCACTTACGAACCTGTCCATCTTTTCTCACTCTTTGGGGGCTTTGTTTACAATTATTAAACAGATAATGAGCTCCGAAGCACCAGAAGGCTGTTTATAACAATAACAACAGTTGATCGAGAAGTTTTCATGCTTGTAAACTGTTGTAAACAAAGCCGTCAAAGACTGAAGATATACACATTCGTAAGTGCTTGCGTAGCTGCTTCGTGAAATCTAGCCCCCCCCAGGTGACTGCACATGCCAACCAGTCAACCAAGATTGTTGTTGTTAAAGATTTAGCTATTCAGGACGGAGTGTCCATGTAGCACGGGCTATGGTGAGCCCGTAAACCTGGTGGGAGACTCACCCATCGGACTTGTAGTAGTCGTAGAGGAGAGTGACGTGCTGTTGCTCCTCGGAGGCGGGGCCGTGGATGTTAAGCATGGCGGTGGTGGCGGCGGTAAGGGGGTGTTCGCAGTACTGGCGCCAGCTACCCTCAGCCACCTCCTCACCCAGCTCGTTCATCGCCTGTGGGAGACACCAGGAAGAGTCAGGTCATAAATCACTGTAACTGATTAGAGAGAGAGAGAGAGTAAGAGAGAGAGAGAGAGAGAGAGAGAGAGACAGAGAGAGAGAGAGAGAGAGACAGAGACAGCTCCGAACCTCCCTTGAAGGTCATAATCAAAATGATGTTGTTGTTATAGATTCTAATCAAGATGTTGTTATAAATTCAGCTACTCGGTACAAGTTCCAAGTAGCACGGGCTATGGCGAGCCGTAGTGGACTTACCTGGCACAGGAGCAGTGCTGTCGCATAATCAAGAGAAAAAGGCTATATATATATATATATTGTGACGATAATCTCCTTCAAGAGAGATTGAGCCTGCTCTTCCCTCCTAAGTTCGCCGCTATACATCCCTATACAACTAATATGGAAGAAATATCCAACAAATACAACACCAAGGTTTGCCAGAGAGCAAACGTATTCAGCACCAGGAACACCTGCTCCCCCCCCCTCCGCCACTCGAACCACCAAACTACCTGTCCGTCGCCTGCTCATCGCTGATTGGCCGGTGGTCAGTCGCACCTGCTTCTCCACCGCCACACTAGTTGATGTCTGGGGCCACCACGACCTCAGACCTCAGAATATCCAGTGCTTTCAACAAGTTAACACGTCTCGTTGGTAGACTAAGCTCTGGCTTACGTGTACTAAGAGAGGTGGCAGCTTAAAGCCAATATTCCTGCACCTATATCTGATTGTATATTGTTCACTTGTTATTACTCACTTGTCTTAACGTAACTTTTCATTTTGTCATTTGATTATTCTTATTATTTTGATTGATTGATTTTATGTTCCAATTTGTATGTCCATTTTATTCATGTTTTGCTTTTCTAACGTAATTAAAATCTCATTGTTAAATTTACTTGTGTTTTGTGTGTCTTCCCATTACCTTACCACAGACGAAGTTCCAGATTTTCTCTTTGTTTCTATATGTGACGAGGCCATACCCCTAGCTTTTGAAACAGCCGAACACCAACGCGTTACCGTCACAATATATATATATATATATATATATATATATATATATATATATATATATATATATATATATATATATATATATAACGCTTGGGTTAATGTACAAGGGGATACGACCTAAGATCACATTCACTTAAAAAAAGTCAAGCACGTACGGGGCTATTCATGCCCGTGCCACTTCTTGGGTGGCTTATTCATCAATCAATCAATCAATTAATCAATCAATCACCAAGGAGCTGGGATAGCACAGGGGAAAAGGGAAGGGAAGAAATGGTGCCCCAATCCCTTGGACCGTCGGAGATCGAACGCCGACCTGCAAGAAACAAGGCTGTTGCGGTACCAATCAGTCCAAATGACTGGACGTAGGACCAGGTCTACAAACTCGTAACTCCCAACACAGTAATACACGGCAAGAGTAATTAGACGTTTCCCAAATACTAATTTAAAGATACTTTAAATTTGACACTTAAAAGTATCTTTAAATGATACATTTCTATACTTGTCCCAATACTTGGAATTGGGACAATAATTTTGCCCAACAAAAAATTGCCTTGAATTAGGAAAATTTCATAGTCTAATATTTACTCCCGGATGTTGTAGGTAAATAATCTTGAAAATTATCATGGGAAAAATAAAGCAAAATTAGTATTTATCATGGGAAAAATAAAGCAAAATTAGTATTTATCATGGGAAAAATAAAGCAAAATTAGTATCCCAATTCAAAGTAGAAATAACAAAATTACTTCTCTCGAAATACATTAAAAGACAATTATCCAAATTCAAGGAAGGAATAAGAAACAAAATTGTGAAAATCTAAAAAAATAGTGAGCATAGGCCTAGCTAAAAAAAAAAAAAAAAAAAACACATAGGATGATCCCAGCTCGTGACCCACCTCAAGACAAGAAGGTACTTACTCTCGCACCTTTGAAGGTACTGTCGCACCTTTGTAATGTCAAGCCTTACAAAACAGCATGTTAAATCAAGCTCTAGCAGGGAAGAGTAAAGATATTCACGTGAAAGACGTAAAGAAAAAGGAAGAGAGAGAGAGAGAGAGAGAGAGAGAGAGAGAGAGAGAGAGAGAGAGAGAGAGAGAGAGAGAGAGAGAGAGAGAGAGAGAGAAAGAGTGAGAGAGAGAGAGAAAGAGAGACAGAGAGAGAGAGAGACAGAGAGAGAGAGAGAGAGAGAGAGAGAGAGAGAGAGAGACAGAGAGAGAGAGAGAGAGAGAGACAGAGACAGAGAGAGAGAGAGAGAGGAATAAAGATGAAAGACAAGACAAATAGACAAGCCTGACAATACAGCAATAATAAACAAAATAACAAAAGAACCAACTACAAAAGCCACGTAAAGATCACAACCCAAAACACAGACGTGAACAACACCCGCCCCCCCCCAACAAGGCTAACTAACTAGCCTCAACAACAATGGTGCCACTCGAACCATCCACTAACACCCGCCCCCCCCACCAACAAGGCTAACTAACTAGCCTCAACAACAATGGTGCCACTCGAACCATCCACTTAAAAAGAGATAGACGATAACAACGTCGCAGGCGATGAGTCACAATAACGTGGCTGAAGTATGTTGACCAGACCACACACTAGAAATTGAAGGGACGACGACGTTTCGACGATAACAACGTCGTACAAACTCACTGAAAACCCTAAGAGCCATCATCGCGTGCAATATGGAGCCGTTTGTGTACACAAGATGAACGATTGAATGACCAAGTATTATGTAAGGAAGGGGGGGGGGAAGGGGGGTGTATTTTGTAAGAAAGGGGGGTGGGAAGGGGGGTGTATTTTGTAAGGAAGGGGGGGGGGGTCAGAAACGTCCCCATGTGGTGTCAGCTGCAAGACAGATTAATCAGAAGGTCGTGACAGAGGTCAACAAGGGTCACGTTGAGTATATTTCATTCACCAGGCGCTACGAGGCCAGGTCCTGTGAGAGAGAGAGAGCACACACATGATAACAAGATGTACAGGGTCCAGGAGAGAGAGAGAGAGAGAGCACACACATGATAACAAGATGTACAGGGTCCAGGAGAGAGAGAGAGAGAGAGCACACACATGATAACAAGATGTACAGGGTCCAGGAGAGAGAGAGAGAGAGAGAGAGAGAGAGAGAGAGAGAGAGAGAGAGAGAGAGAGAGAGAGAGAGAGAGAGAGAGAGAGAGAGAGAGAGAGAGCACACACATGATAACAAGATGTACAGGGTCCAGGAGAGAGAGAGAGAGAGCACACACATGATAACAAGATGTACAGGGTCCAGGAGAGAGAGAGAGAGCACACACATGATAACAAGATGTACAGGGTCCAGGAGAGAGAGAGAGCACACACATGATAACAAGATGTACAGGGTCCAGGAGAGAGAGAGAGAGAGAGAGAGCACACACATGATAACAAGATGTACAGGGTCCAGGAGAGAGAGAGAGAGAGCACACACATGATAACAAGATGTACAGGGTCCAGGAGAGAGAGAGAGAGAGAGAGAGAGCACACACATGATAACAAGATGTACAGGGTCCAAGAGAGAGAGAGAGAGAGCACACACATGATAACAAGATGTACAGGGTCCAGGAGAGAGAGAGAGAGAGAGCACACACATGATAACAAGATGTACAGGGTCCAGGAGAGAGAGAGAGAGAGAGCACACACATGATAACAAGATGTACAGGGTCCAGGAGAGAGAGAGAGAGAGAGAGGGGAGAATGAAGAGGCAAGAGGGACACATGAGACTAAAAGTGAGGAGGTAGAGAAGGTAGGGAGAGAGGAAGGTAGAGAAAGGAGGGAATGAGTGAATGAGTGAGTGTGTGAGTGAGTGAGTGAGGCGTGTTCACCTCCTGACGTGTCTGAAGGCGTCGTGGAGGCCAGGAGCCAAGGGAGTCTCCTCTCACAAGCAGTGTTTGGCTAATGTGTTCTGACTGTAGCAGTGTTAGTGGTGGCGAAGTGTTGCTCTCCATACTCATCCTGTGAGGAATTAATGCGAACTCTCTACTCATCCTGTGAGTAATTAATGTGAACTCTCTTCTCATCCTGTGAGGAATTAACGTGAACTCTCTTCTCATCCTGTGAGGAATTAATGCGAACTCTCTACTCATCCTGTGAGTAATTAATGTGAACTCTCTTCTCATCCTGTGAGGAATTAACGTGAACTCTCTTCTCATCCTGTGAGGAATTAACGCGAACTCTCTTCTCATCCTGTGAGTAATTAACGTGAACTCTCTTCTCATCCTGTGAGGAATTAACGCGAACTCTCTTCTCATCCTGTGAGTAATTAACGTGAACTCTCTTCTCATCCTGTGAGTAATTAACGTGAACTCTCTTCTCATCCTGTGAGGAATTAACGCGAACTCTCTTCTCATCCTGTGAGTAATTAACGTGAACTCTCTTCTCATCCTGTGAGGAATTAACGCGAACTCTCTTCTCATCCTGTGAGTAATTAACGTGAACTCTCTTCTCATCCTGTGAGGAATTAACGCGAACTCTCTTCTCATCCTGTGAGTAATTAACGTGAACTCTCTACTCATCCTGTGAGGAATTAATGCGAACTCTCTACTCATCCTGTGAGGAATTAATGTGAACTCTCTACTCATCCTGTGAGTAATTAATGTGAACTCTATACTCATCTTGTGAGTGATACTTTAATATGAAAACTTTACTCTTCCTGGGAGTGGTAGTGCAAAAAAGGATTATAGAGAGAACAAAAATTACAGAGAGCACAAAATAGATTACAGAATGCTCGAAGAGATTAAAGAGGGCCCAAAGGGGTTACAGAGAACACAAAAGGGTTACAGAGATCACAAAAGAGTTACAGAGTAAACAAAAGGGTTACAGAGAACACAAAAATGTTACAGAGATCACAAAAGAGTTACAGAGGACACAAAAGGGTTACAAAGGGCCCAAAGAGATTACAGAGGACACAAAAGGGTTACAGAGAACACAAAAGAGTTACAGAGTAAACAAAAGAGTTACAGAGGGCACAAAAAAGAG